ACAAGCGCCCTCTGCCTTGAGGCAGACGTACTGTTTGCCTCACCGAGTAACTTTTTTACTGGGTTTTATGGTTAATCTGGAGCCTAAACACGTTACACAACTACATTTTATACATTATCCAGATTATGGCAAGGCAGAGCATATAATCAGAGTGTTTGAAAGCATTTTATTTGTGATATATAGAGGGACAGCGACACACTGTTTGCATCGCATACAGTTTGTGAGGATTACACGATCCACCGAGAGGCACAGCAAAGTGCTGCCTCATCGCGCATCTCCTCCATGTATTTGAACGGGACATGTATTTGAAAGGAGCACAAAGTGCTTCACAATAAACATGCACACCATAGCAAACCTTAAAAACAACAAGAAATAACGTATCGAAAAGGTGGATGGTAAAACAGGAAAAGAAAAGCTACCCCTAAAAACTGGGTTAGTTGTCAAAAGCCCGTCTAAAAAGGTAAGGATGACGTCATTATCACTACTAGCCACTACTACTGCACTACTGTTTTACTAAGCTGCAGTAGAACAATTAGTATAATAATAATATTATTACTACACCACTACTACTGTAAATGACTACTACTACTGCTGTTACTATTAATATACCACTGGTGTTCTCAGTAATAATACTACTGTTACCACTACCACTACTACTAACACTGTTCTTACTATTACTCCTGCTGTTGCTACTACTAATACTGCTACTACTATTACCATTACAACTACTATTACTAGTACTATGACAACTACTGGTGTTACTGCTGTAAGATTTGAGTCTTATAGACTCTAGTTACTTTATCAGCTTTAGTTACTTCTCATACCTGTAGTTACCTTTAGTTACCTTTCATAACTTTATCTTAATTGATTATACATATCACAGCTGTATTGATGATTGTCCAAAACTACTGAGCTTTGGTTATTTTAATACATTTGTTTCCCTTGCTTATATATCTTACAGCTATAATGAAGCAGAATCTGCTTACTTTGAATGTTGTAACTTCTGTGTAGAGACCAGATGTCTGCATCTCTTTGTGACCAGACAGCCTATTCACATTTTAACAAAGCCCCACTAGCCCACACCTGGACACACATAGCATATCCCAAGTTCTGCCCCACCAGGAGGTGTCTTACACACACAGGGGGTCTCATCACCTGAGATGACCACTTGGCCAGTTGGGCATGCTTATTGTCTCACACACACATAGGGGGCCTGCAATCCAGTTAACTCATTTTTCTGTGTGCTTGATTTGATTTGATTTTTGATTTGATTTGATTTATTCTTTCAAGCATGCAGAACAAATTACATCAACACACACATAATTACACAAATCCAACCAATGCTAATCCAGAATCAGTTTGCTTATACCTAGTACATGCTTGAATGGAATAGGAAGAAGTCAGACTTATCCAGTCCTACCCCATAACATCATCTTATACAAAAAATTTCATGCATCATTGGCTGCAAGCAGTATCTCTACATAGGTAATTCTCTTCTTCACCAGACAAGTAACATACAGAAAATTTAAAACAGAGTGTTTCATTCATGCATTCTTGATTAAATCTCTTATTCTTGCATATATCTTGAATGACACATACTTTTATATTTATATTTAAATTCCTCAATTCTAGTACTGTTTTTCATGTCCACACTTAAATTATTCCATAATTTGACCCCACTTATAGAAATACAAAATCTTTTTTT